TTATTTTGCATGTACCGTACTTTGACATTTTTTGGGGTAAAACTCAAAAGAGCTAAATGCTGAAAGTCGTGTATGTAGTGACAAATTTTGCATTTTGTGTTGGACTTTAGACATTATAAACAGGTGCAGCGTGCAGGTGACAATTAAATTCAGGCTGATTTGCTTCTTCAGAGGATTGCCTGCATGTTTCGGTAGGAAGGCACGAGACAGCCTCGTGTTGCAGTGACGACCAGCATTGACTTTATACAATGAACTGCTACTATGCGAACAAGTTGGTGTTTTTGATGAGTCTGCTTTATAGTGGGTAATGCAAAGCTAATTGAAGCTAATGCTAATCACTGCGAGTTGCTGCAGCAGCAATGAAGCTGTCTCTCACTGCTTACAGGTGACAGAACATAAAACACGTAGTATCCCAAAAGTTAATGCTACAAATACATCAGCTGACCTTTTTCTGAAAAAACATTAAGAAATTTATGTGATCCATGCGTATGTTTGTAAACACATTGAGCTAACGCTTCTCAATACCCACCCTTCTCTTCCCTTGCCTCAGGCCTGGACTCAAGAATCATTGAACCATCAAAGGTGAGTCATATTTGCTTCATAAGGGAATATCTTAATATTATAGCTTCTCTATTGATAATTTAGAAATATTTAAAAATAATGCTAAGTGAATAAGTTATATTGCTGTTTTTTGTTGTACATATTTTAATATTAGTGTTACTGTTGTGAAGACTGTTGCTGTATTCGTAATGGTTTGTTTGCACCTTGCACATTGCCCAGGACATCCTTATAAAAGAGATTAATAATCTCAATGGATTTCCTTCCTGGTAAAATAAAAATTTAGATAAAAATATTTAAAAAATATGCAAGGTGTGTGGTCTAAAGTAAGTCAAACAATTGGCTCTAATAAATAACATAATTTTAAGCAGTTACAGGAAAAAAATGTTTGTTAGCTTTCTCCTTGGTCAAATCCTTCATGCCGGTGAGTTCTAGGAGCTGCTAGTGGCCTACAATTCTCAGAAATCACATCCAGCTTGTGGTTGAGTTCGTTAAGCATACGAGTCTGAGAGCTCGAGGCACGAGCTCTCAAAATGAGCTCTCCGCAGAAAAATGTGCCCTTCACATAAGGCTGGCAGCTTTCCCATGGCCAAAACTGCTAAAAACCTCCACGACCGGACTCCAAAAATGAGTGGAGTCCGGTCGTGGAGATGTTGAATCAGGCCGTTCAGGCTCTAACACTCACAGGCTGACTTTAACGCTGAAAGGAGGCGGCTACGGTCCTCTTTTCCTCCAGTCAAACACGGAGAAACTTTTCGCTCATAAATTGAAGCCATTCAATGCCACATGCACACTGCACACATGAACCCCGTTTGTGGGTGTAACCAACGCCATAGACATACAGCAGCTCTATACAGCTCTGGGCATAAACGCATATGTCTCTTTGCCATATGTCTGTTCTTTACCTGCCTGCGTTTTGAAACCACGTGTCATGTTACAGCCAATCACCAAAACTTGACACCGAAAGAAGAGATGTGTTTTGATTTTAGCACTGACCGAAGCAGTTTGGTCGGTACCATAAAAGAACCGAGATTCGGTACTCAGCCCTAGTCATATGTGAGCAGAGTGAACAGGAGGGGGCTCAGCACACAGTCCTGAGGGGAGCCAGTGCTGAGGGTTATGGTGGAGGAGGAGAAGTTGTGGATCCTCACAGACGGTCCATCAGGTTCTGGGGAATCATGGTGTTGAAGGCGGATGTGAAGTCCACAAAGAGCATACGGACGCAAGAGTCCTTCTGCTCCAGATGAGTGAGAGCAGTGTGGACCACAGAGGAGATGGCGTCCTCTGTTGATCGATTCTCACAGTGTGCGTACTGGAGTGGGTCCTCGTTGATGTCGATGGTAGCTTTGATGTGGGTCATGACCAGTCTTTCGAAGCATTTGGCCCCTATTGGGGTGAGGGCTACTGGCCGGGGGTGAGGGCTATTGGCCGGTAGTAATTCAGACCAGTCACTGCAGAACTCTTAGAAACTTGGATGATGTGGTTGTCTTCAGGCAGGTGTGAACAGTTGCCAGTGTGAGGGAGGAGAGAATATTTAACCAAAAATTAGACGTGCGGTACAAATTTATTTAAAAAATAAATTATGTCTGGACTCAAAATACTGTCATACTTTAATACCTAACTTTCCTTTGTTTTATTTTTTTGGCCCTCTACAAGCATATGTCCAAACATTTGACTAATAATGGATCTAAAATATTTTGTAAAGACTTTCAATAGCTACCAGCTTTACACAGCTGTGTTTGTGCTCTTTTCCCAGATTACCATGGCAAGTTCAAAACCAGAAAGACTGAAGGTGATTCTGGGAGAGAGCAACATTGAAAAGCTGACTTTTCCAAATGGGATACCAGAATCTCTGAATGAGCTTCTCAGCAAGGTGAAAGATACCTTTGGTTTAAAGACCAATATCTGACTGCAATATATGGACAAAGATTTTGATAATGACTTCTTCAATCTCAGTTCAACTACAGACATTGAGGATTTGGGAACAGTCAAGGTGATTGAACAGCAATCCATTCAACCTTTAACTGATGTCAATGAAACAGTGTCATAAATTTCTATCAAAATTTATATTTTATTTTGAAAGACTTCTTGCCATTTCTCAGTAGCTTCCTGCCACTGACTAACATTTTCCTTTGACAGAGCTGGGCACTCATGGCTTCCAGCACCCCGCCTCTCATGTGGTGGGTATTTGTGACACAGAGAGAATGCCCTCAGGTAATCAGATGTACGAGGCCTTTTGCCCACGGTTTCAAATACCCAACCATAACTCTGCCCACTCTATCATCATGCGACCAGAAGTCTAACCTGAATGACCAATGAGGTACTCTCAAGGACCATCCCCCAAGATAGACGTGAATGAATTTCTTAAGATTGTTCCCGTGTTGTTTTATCTTATTTTGTGCTTCATGCACAGACCTGTTCATTTGTTCAGCGATAATGGAAAATGCATGGAGAATTTCTTATGACGCAGCTTTCATGTTAAAAGCGATCTATCAGCTGTCGAGGAGGAAATGGAGCTGCTGCCCGTAAACTGCATCATGTAGAGTGTCAGGGATTGGAGACACAAAAGCAGTCAAGTCTGGTACATGTTTTAATAAAAGTTTTAATTTTTTTTTCTGTGTGATGTCTTTCTGTATCAGTAAATATGTGTTTAAATACCGGGATTTCATTTTAAAGTCACATCCGAACACGAAGCAGAGAAACAGGAGTCTTCCCCACTCCACTTTCCGTCTATGAGAACTCAACGATGGCGAAGTGATGTCAGTTTTATTTTTAAAGCAGTCAGTCAGTCAAGACTGACACATATTTGAATAAAAGTTTTAAAAAATCTTTATGTGTATGGTAAATATGTTTAAATGCCAAAAGGCTCCACACAGAACGGAGGGGACATCAGGAGGGAGAGAGGTATTCCCCCTTCTATCCTCCTCATATGAGCTCTGTGGAGCAGAATCACGTCAAATTTATTTTGAAAGTACATTTAAAAAGAACAGTTGTTAACAAAAATGTTTACCAATAAAAATCAATGGTACTAATGAATATTAATTAATATATGCAATATTAATTAATGAATATTTACCGCATTCTACCGGTACTATTTGACTTGTGGTCACATGACCTCGATAAGACTCTGGGTTATATTTACTGGTAAATAATTTTTAAAGAATTTCAGCTACGTAGGTGTTTGGCATTGTTCTGTCCAGTGATTGTTTAGTTATTGTGTTCATTTTGAAGGTATAATGGTTGTAACCATGAATCAGACAGCGAAGCTTCATGATACTTATGATATTGCAATCTGATTGTGTGTTGAAAGCAAGCTATAGTCTGTGAAACACCATCTGCTAACTGGTTCTTCTACTACAACAAGAAAGCTGCACACTGTCAGAGCTGGCTGGGGACACAGATCTCGATGAATGGTGGATGCCTGCAGCTAAATAACCGGAGCATATAAAATTATGATTTATCTTATATTTAATAAGTGTGGCTTAAAGACAGGTGCGTTTTAAAGTCCAACAATTACGGTAATCTATCAGAGGAGAATGGCTCCTTGGTTCATTTCTGAGTTACGTACTTTAAAACGGGCATGTAGAAAGCTGGAAAGAAAGTCTTGCTCCACTAACGTTGAAGAATTTAACTTATCTTGGAGACTTAGCTTGCTAACTTATAAAACACTCCGTAAAGCTAAAAGCAATTTGTGTGAATATTAAGTTACAATGCCCTTAATGTTCATGTGTTTAATTGTTCCCTGCAGATGCTCAGCCAATGATGCTGATTGTAGAAGAAGCTTCTAAAGAATGGAAGTCTGATGTGAACCAGAAGGACCCAGAGCCCCTCCATATGAAGTGCCAAGTGAAAGATGAGGATCTTCCAACCGGCAGCTCATCTGACAAGATGAATGCAGTAACTATAGGAGAAGACTGTGGAGGAGCAGAAACTACTAGAAACCCAGATGTAAATACTCATGAAGATGGTTTCACCTCTTCACAGACTGAAGACAGTGAGAATGATGATAAAGATGTGAATGATCCTGATTCTCAGCTGAAAGACTCATCAGACTCTGGATCAGAACCTGAAGACAGTGACAATGACTGGACGGAGAGCAGGGCTCCTGAGCCAGGTGTAAATACTGTCAACAAATCTTGCAGCTTCTCTGAGGTTGAGAAACAATTTCTTCACAAGCCGTCTGTCCAGAGAAACAAGACGGATCATTCACAAATAAAGTCCTCAAGTTGTTTGGTTAGCAAGAAATGTTTTAGAGTGAAGAAAATTGGAGGCTCAAACAAAAACATCCAGCCAAGTCTGAAATCATTTAGTTGTGATGACTGTGGAAAAAGATTTGACAGTAAAGGTAATTTAAACATACACATGAGAATACACACAGGAGAGAAACCATTTGCTTGTGATGTTTGTGGACAATGGTTTGGAGATAAGTCATCTTCAAAAAGACACATGAGAATCCACACAGGAGAGAAACCATTTGCTTGTGATACTTGTGGGTATAAATTTAGACACAAGTCAACTTTAAACTCACACATAAGAATCCACACAGGAGAGAAACCATTTGCTTGTGGAGTTTGTGAACAAAAGTTTGGGCGAAAGTCCCATTTAAGCTCACACATGACAACCCACACAGGACAAAAACCATTTGCTTGTGATGTATGTGGACAAAGTTTTGGACAAAAGTCTAATTTAAACAAACACATGATAATCCACACAGGACATAAACCATTTGCTTGTGATGTTTGTGGACAAACGTTTGGACAAAAGGCACATTTAAACTCACACATGATAATCCACACAGGACAGAAACCATTTGTTTGTGATGTTTGTGGACAACGTTTTGGACAAAAGTCAATTTTAAATAAACACATGATAATCCACACAGGACAGAAACCATTTGCTTGTGATGTTTGTGGAAAAAAGTTTAGACAAAAGTCACATTTAAAGTCACACAAGGGAATCCACATTGGAGATAAACCATTTGCTTGTGATGTTTGTGGACAACAGTTTAGAGAAAAGTCACTTTTAAACTCCCACGTGATAATCCACACAGGACAAAAAGCATTTACTTGTGATGTTTGTGGACAAAGTTTTGTACACAAGTCAAATTTAAACAAACACATGACAATCCACACAGGACATAAACCATTTGCTTGTGGAGTTTGTGGACAAAGATTTGGACACAAGTCACATTTAAACTCACACATTATAATACACACAGGACAGAAACCATTTGCTTGTGGAGTTTGTGGACAAAGGTTTAGACTAAAGCAAACTTTAAACAACCACATGAGAATCCACACAGGACTAAAACCATTTGCTTGTGATGTTTGTGGACAAAAGTATAGACAAAAGTCAAATTTAAACCAACACATGATAAGCCACACCGGAGAGAAACCATTTGCTTGTGATGTTTGTGGACAATGTTTTGGACACAAGTCACATTTAAATTCACACATGAGGATCCACACAGGCCAGAAACCATTTGTTTGTGAAGTTTGTGGACAAAGGTTTGGTCAAAAGTCAACTTTAAACATACACATGAGAATCCACACAGGAAAGAAACCATTTGCCTGTGATGTTTGTGGACAAACGTTCAGACAAAAGTCTCATTTAAACTCACACATGATAATCCACACAGAACAGAAACCATTTGCTTGTGATATTTGTGGACAAAATTTTGGACTAAAGTCAAGTTTAAAGAAACACATGAGAAACCACACAGGACAGAAACTGTGATGTATATTGATACATGTTAATAATTTTTTTATTGCCACTACGTGGCATTGTATTTTTATAAAAGACCTGAATGATGACGAGTAAGGGGTGGTGGCATCTCCCAAACATGGCGTCCGTCTCATATGTTACATGGTGTCAGGAGTGAAAGATAAAGAGAGCATTGATTAACCTTGCAAAGGAAAGAAAATGGTGCAGATGAAGTCTCCAACCTCATTATGTCTAGAAAAAAATATAGCAAAAAACTGGAGAGTCTGTACCTTATTGCCAGCGGAATTAAGGAAAAATATGATGCAGTGAAAAGAGCCATGTTTCTGCATGTAGCGGGAGATGAAGCCATCAATGTATACAACACCTGTGATTTAGTTGAGAATGCTGATGAGGATGCTGAAAACTACTGTAAACTGAAAGAGCTGTTCCACAAGTATTGTTTACTAAGGAAAAATGTGACCTATTTGAGGCACCTGTTCTTCACTCAAGTGCAAGGTAAATCAGAGACTATTGATTCATATGTGACTGATTTAAAGAATAAAGCCAAAGACTCCGAGTTTGAGCCCCTCACCGACTCACTGATAAAACATAGAATTGTGTGTGGAATCTGATGATCTAGTAAAAGGACGATTATTAAGAGAACTTGATCTCAATCTGGAGAAAGCAATAGACATTTGCAGAGCCAGTGAGTAGTCAAGAGTCAGCTAAAAGTACGTGAGGAGGTTGAAATCCCTGTTAATAAAGTCATAAAGACAAAAACAATATGATGAACAGGGAGACAGTGGAGCTACAGCAGAGTGTAAATGTGAGGAAGCAAGGGAACTGCACAAGATGCGGCAATAAGCACGATCCAAGGAAATGTCCTGCTTATGGACGTGTGTAAAGCTTGCCACAGGAAAAATCACAATGCAAGAATATGCAAATTTCACAAGCACACAAACAACCTGAAGGTGCATCATATAAATAAGACAGAAGCTGAAAAGGAGGAATTCTTTATTGGTTCCATTCACACAGCATCACAATCTATCATAACTGTAACCAAGGCAGAAAAATGGCATGAAGATCTGATTGTCAACAAAGTTTTAAAAATCAGGTTGGCTACTGGAGCTGAATGCAATGTTGTGTCCATGAAAGACCTCAGAAAGCTGAGACTGGATCAACAGGTGAGCACATCACATGCTAAGCTTGTTGCTTATGTAGGCCATCAGATTGCAGTAAATAATAATAATATGTTATCTATAAAGCCCTTTAAAACAACCACAGCTGCAACAAAGTGCTGTACACATAAAATCAAGAAAATTTAAAAACATCAAAAATAAAACAGTTGTTAAAACATTAAGATCAATAAAACAGTTCAGAGCAAAATTCAGTCTGTGCTAAAAAGCAAGGGAGTAAAAACGTGTTTTTAAAACAGTTTTAAAAAGGTAAAATTATGTTGACATGTCAGTATAAAGATAAAAAGTATGATCTAGAATTTGAAGTCATAAAAAATAATGCACCTGTGATTCTTGGAGGAGAGGCAAGTGAAAAAATGGGACTTAGGAGACTACATGCACTTGGAAAAACAGGATGACATTCTGAGTGAATATGAGGATTTATTTTCTGGATTAGGCTGCATTCCAGGAATGTACCACATTCAGACAAATCCAGACATCACTCCAGTAGTTCATGCTCTCAGAAAATTGCCTGTTGTTCTTAAGGACAAAATTGAAGCAGAACTAAAAAGAATAGAAAAGGTGGGTGTGATAACTAAATAGTCAGAGCCAACAGATTGGGCGAATAGCATGGTTACTGTAACCAAACCCAATAAAGTAAGGATCTGCATTGACGCACAGGACCCGAATAAAGCCATCAAGAGAGAACAATATCCACTGTGCACAATTGAAGACGTGGTTGCTGAAATGCCAAATGCCCGATTTTTTTTCTTTTGTTTTAGATGCCACCATGGATTTTGGCAAATCCAGTTGGACGAGGAAAGTTCTCACCTGTGTACATTTAATACTCCATTTGGGAGATACAAGTTTAAAAGACTTCCATTTGGTATATCATCAGCACCCGAAATGTTCTAAAGGTGCGTGAGCAGACATTTAGAAGGACTCAGTGGTGTGGTCAATAGGATTAATGACATTCTGGTTTGGAGAAAGAGCATAGAGCACCATGATCATCGGTTGAGATGACTGCTAGACCACCTGAGAAGTTTCAATCTGAAATGGAACAAAAGCAAGTGCAAGATAAGGATGAACGAGATCAGTTACACATGTTCTAAGTGAGAAAGGGCTTAAACCTGACCCTGAAAAGGTTAGAGTCGTACAAAACATGGCTGCACCAGAGGACAAACCTGCTCTTCATAGGTTTACAGGATTATTGCAATACCTTTCTGAATTTATCCCAACCTTTCAGATTAGAAACTGGCTCCCCCGTTTGGCCTTTGATAGGCCAATTTATCTCAAATTTCTCCTGGAGGATATGTAAATCATGAAGCTCTGCTCTGCCCCCCTCTGTGAATCAGATGCTTCTATTGGTTCCAGGAACCTGTCTAAAGCTCAGAGGTTGCAGGGCCTTCTCTGTTACAGGTCCAAGACTGTGGAATGATTTACCACTAGATGTCAGGCAGGTCCCCCTCTCACTATTTTTAAGTCTTGCTTAAAATATCACTTTTATTCCCTGGCTTTTGACACTGTGTGATTTGTTCTTAATCTGTCTGTATTCTACAATGTTAGCCATTTAGTTATTATCTTATTCCATTCGGATCTATGGAATTTATTTATTTATTTTTTGCTGTGTGCTTTGCTTGTTTGTTTTTGCTGTACAGCACTTTGGTTGGCCTTGTTGCTGTTTTAAGTGCTCTATAAATAAAGTGGTATGGTATATATATGTATGTATGTATACTTGCAGGCAGGCAGGTATTGGTGCTGGACACGTTAACTCATCATGTTAATGCAGCAAATGATTAATGCCGGTAATTTTTTAAAACAGCGTTAAAATACACACACATACTCGTTTTTACTACCTCGTGGGGATCAACGACAAACACATACACTTGGTCACGGGAGGCAGGATGTTGATCATTGCAGATTTGAGCCTGTTTGAACTCTGCAGCTCCTCACATTGTGCTGTGTGTGTGGTGGTTTATTGGCCTCCTAAGTACAATAAGGATTTTATAAATGACTTGCATACTTTCAGCCAAAAAGTCTGAAAAAGTACGACCGAGTTCTTATAGTTTTTGATTTTAATATCCATGTGTGTTGTCCTGCTTTACCCATGGCTCAGTCCTTTTTAAACATCAGTGACTCTCTTAATCTTGTACAGTCTTTGATTGGTCTTATACATGAACATGGACACACTCTGAACCTGGTTTTATTTTGTGATTTACCAGTTTTTAATGTAGTGAGTAGTGCAAGATGGCTTCTTTTACTCTTCTCTCAATTCAGCGTTCCTCTCATATCAAGAATATGTATGTAAGAATATCAGTAGTATCACTCATTCCCCGGTGAATAGAAAGCAGAGCTCTTACGATCAATTGTTAGGCTGATGGCCCTCTTTTTTCATGTGAATACTGGTTCTGGCTATCAACAGAAACTACTAGGAGTGCTATTTGACTGAGTTTTTAGCATCTTCTCAGACTGAAAAAGTCTTTTGAATAAAAGAAAATATTTCAACTAAAGAAGAATCAGAAGATCTGACTTAACATTGTTAGATTTTTCTACCTGGATTATTGAGCATGCATCAGGAAATAAACTATTGATGATGCTCCCAGATTTAAAAATGTTTCTTCTTGAAACTTTTCAGGAAAAAAAAGGTATATTTTTGAGTTTGTTGTAAATCGGTTATGATTGTGGTTTTGGGTTTGAAGGAATCTTTTTATTTTCTCTCTAAAATAAACTACTGTAAAAACATTTTGCCCTGGTGAATATCTTTGGTTTCATATTTGATATGTTTGTGTTTATGTGACTACAAATACTTTAATTGCTAGGAGAACACTGCTGTCAAAAAGTGCCTTTTTTAACATATTGAATTTTTTTATATATGAACCAGTACCCTAAAAAAAGTTCTAAATACCTTTAAGTGATCATTTAATTTTGCGCATAATAATGAGATTTACTGTGACAATGTTTGAAATAAATTACGATTAAAATTTTTAATCTTTACCCAGCACTAATATATATATTACTCCAAGCTGTTGGGGGAAGAATCAGTTTTGTGTTGCGTTTCCTTGACTGATGAAGTCTTCTGGATCGAAAGCGAAACGTTTCAGCACAAAAAAAAAGAAACTGTCCAGATGACCTGACTGAAAAATGTTGGATTGTATACCTGGATTATTGAGCATGGACTTTGTTATCTAAGGATATTGCAGAAACTACTAAAATTGGGTTAAGAACTGTCCATCACATAATTAAAAACTGGAAGGATAGTGGGGACCCATTGTCTTTGAGGAAGAAATGTAGCCGGAAAAAAATCCTGAATGATGGTGTTCAGCGATCACTTAAATGTTTGGTGAAATCAAATGAAGAAAAACAACAGTAGTACTCAGGACTATGTTTAAAAGTGAAAGTAAGAGCATTTCCACATGCACAATGCGAAAGGAACTCAAGGGATTGGGAATGAACAGCTGTGTAACCTTAAGAAAACCACTAATTAGTGAGATTAACTGGAAAAAAAGGCTTCAATTTTCTATGGAGCATAAAGATTGGACTCTGGAGCAATGGAAGAAGGTCATGTGGTCTGATGAGTCCAGATTTACCCTGTTCCAGAGTGATGGGTGCATCAGGGTAAGAAGAGAGGCAGGTGAAGTGATACACACATCGTGCCTAGTCGTCAATGCAAGATCTTGGTGAAAAATGAATGCAACACTGGATGGAAATAGATCTTGTGACATTGCAGAAGCTTACTGAAACAATGCCACAGTGAATGCATGCCGTAATCAAAGCTAAAGGCAGTCGAACGAAATATTAGTGTGTGACCTTTTTTTTTGGTGGTGACTTTGTTGAACACATTGCCTCCAATCTGGAAGA